TGTGTGTGTGTGTGTGTGTGTGTGTGTGTGTGTGTGTGTGTGAGAGTAACAGTTGGCAAACCATGTTGCAGCTACATAAAACCCTCATTAGGCCGCATTTGGAGTACTGTGTGTACATTTGGCCACCACACTACCAGAAGGATGTTGGCACCTTTGGAAAAAGGCAGAGAAGGTTCACCAGGATGTTGCCCTGTCTCAAGAGCATTGGCTATGAGGAAAGGTTAAAAAGCCTAGGATTGTTTTCACTGGAAAGACAGCAGCTGAGAGGAGACCTGACAAAGGTCTACAAAATAATGAGAGGCAGAGATAGGGTGGATAGTCAGAGGCTTTCTCACCCCAGAGTTGAAGTTTCAATTACAAGGGGGCACAGGTTCAAGTTGAGAGAGGGAGTTTAAGGGAGATATGAAAAGGAACTTTTTCACACAGAGTGGTAGGAGCCTGGAACACACTGCCAGATGACATGGTGGAAGCAGGCATATTCGCGACATTTGAGGCATTTGGATGGTTACGTGAATAGGGAGGGAAGAAGGTTTGTTTTTTAGTTTAGATTGGCACAGGCTTGGAGAGCTGAAGGGCCTGTTTGTGTGCTGTACTTCTATACTTTGTTCTTTCAATGCCTCAAGTGCTTCACAGTTGATGAGGTAAACTGTTTCCCAAGCGGTAAACAGCAGCAAACATTTTGCATCCACTGGTTGATGGATGAATGCTGGCCCGGACACTGGGGAGAATTCCTGCTCTTTCATGTAATGGAATCACTAACTCTTACTCAGGTGAAGGTGGGGTTGGAGATAGGAAATGGGGTGAGGTTGTTGACTTGCTCGCCAAGCTAGCTTATTTTTGTTCAGACGTTTTGTCACCATGCTAGGTGACATCATCAGCGGAGCCTCCGATGAAGCGATGTTATTCTACTCCGCTTGGAATTTACACTGTCCGGTCCGTTACAGTGAGTACTGTCATTGCCGATTTTGAACTGTATGGGGTCAAATTCTATATGTTTATTGATTGAAGTATGGGTGGAGAACCATGCCTCTAGGAATTCCTGCGCCTGTCTTTGTTTGGCGTGGGCTACTATGGTTACGTTGTCCCAGTTAAACTGATGGCCTTCATTGTCTGAATGTACAGATATTAAGGATTGTTCATCATGTCGTTTTGCTTTAACTCTCCCTAATATCGGTACATTCAGACAATGAAGGCCATCAGTTTAACTGGGACAACGTAACCATAATAGCCCAAGCCAAACAAAGTCAGGAATTCCTACAGGCATGGTTCTCCACCCATACTTCAATCAACAAACATACAGAATTCGACCCGAGAACAAACCCATACAGATCAAGACCGGCAATGACAGTACTCACCACAACGGACCGGACAATATAAATTCCAAGCGGAGTAGAAGAATATCGCTTCATCGGAGGCCTCACTGATGATGTCACCTAGCACGGTGTCGAAACATCTGCACAAAAACAAGCCAGCTCGGCGAGCAAGTCAACAACCTCATCAACAACTTGAGTTACAAATCGTCGCCAATACTTATATAGGAAATTGAGTCTTACCATCTTGTTGGAAGCATACCATATCAGAAAGTGAAATATTCCTGCAATACTGCTTTGGAGGGTTGACATCGATTCCAAACTTAAGACCTGTTAGGGGACGTCAGTTGAGGAGCAGTCAGGTTGAGACTGTACCCCTGTTCAAAAACCCAATGAAATTTTCAAAAGCCAAGGTTTCAGTACATGGAGGAAAAAATATTCCCTCTGGTGAGTGAATCAAGAGCTGGAGGGCCAAAGTTTAAAATTAATGGTGTTAAAAAATTCAGGAGAGATGGGGAGAAATATTTCCACTGTTGTTGGAATCTGGAATGACTTACCTGAAAAAGTGATGGAAACTGATTCCATCAACAATTTTAAAGGAGAGAATTGGCAGTTAGAGGATGAAGATCTTACAGGATAGCAGACAATGGGAGGAAGCACAAATATTCTAACAAACAAAAGATAAAGCACAACCATGAGATACCAAATGAGCTCCTTCAAACTGTATATTTCTAAGAGTCCACGAACCTAAACCTCACGACTCAGAATGGCAGCAGATAGAGCGATTGTTCTCAACATCTCACTTATGACTTATGGTGTACAATTAAAACTCTAGTAATAATCAGCCACGGACCTTTAGCGATTTAAACTCTGAAAACGTCCCCAGAGTGGACAAAGAGATTTTCTCTTTAGCTACATTGAGACTTACAAGTCCATAAGCTGTGCTCCTCTCATGCTCCTGAGTTATATCTGCTACGTAGGCAAAGATCACCGAAAATGTGACTGCAAACACTCCAGACATAGAAATCACTGCAAAATACCACCTGTGTGAGGCAAAGCACAAACAGAAACAACTAATTTTCAGATGGTTTGCATTTATGGCTCCAAAGAGTAAGAAAAGCTAGTTCCCTGGAAGTGAAGGGCATTCAAATCAGAAAGGTCGGCTGCAAATTTACTGTTACAAGCAACACCATATGTGGAATAACTTAAACTTAAAATGCATTACAGATCATTTGAGGCTAGGTATTACTCCTAATCTTTGGTCATGGAGCCCTCCTGAGAACATTTACCCCTTCTGTTTGGGGTGGGGGGGGTTAGTGGGGCAGAGGTGTGTTTGGTGATAAATGCTCTCCAACTAGCCAGAAAGCCTTCCGCTACTTACTCTTACATTATGAGACAGCAGTTTTGCCTGATTTGTGTGTCAATTCTCTTCACAATTTTGAAAACTCTAAAGCAATCCTAACCATTGGTCTTACTTGTAAAGTGAACTCTTGCTGCCCACAATGATCTTGTCAAAAGTGGCTAGCCAGCAAAGTTCAGGTTTTGATGGAAGGCAAAGTCAGGAACTTGCTACAGTAAAATTTCAAACACATGTTTCTCACTACATTTTGATGCAGAGTTTATTTTTCATCCTCAACAATTTGAGGTGTAGGATAAGTAAAACGTGAGAAGCAAACCTAGTTTGGTTTTATTTTCTGCAATCAGATGAAACTAATCATCAACTTACTGTCATTTTGCTTTAGCGACCTGCTTAAGTGTCTCCGACACTACTTTGTTTTGGCTCTGGTAAGATATTTAATATAGCAAGACACTCACCAGGGGCTTATTCTCATGAGAGGAATTGGGGCACAGGTGAAGAACACTGTTAGCAGAAGGAAGGATTTCCTGCCCCAAACATCCGACAACGCTCCAATCAGAGGAGCGCTGAGAAATGATAATATTCCCTGCAGATGAAAACAAATTCATTAGAAGCAATGAAAACATGAGTTGATCGAGCACACCACAATTTTATCAGAGAAGTTCTTTCCAAATTACAAACAGAAAAAAACTCAATGTTAGAAATTTGAAATTTAAAAAAATTAAACATGCAGGAAGCACACATGAGCCTTCTGGTAACACAATGGAGCAAAGCCAGGAAGCCCTTCACCATCGAAGGCAGTGATACATCCTTTTAATCTACCCTGCTGTAGATGTCCCAAGAGTCACAGGCTGGGAAAGATTTACTGACCTGACCATGACAGTGAAATATGAATGTTTGTAATTACATAAATACACGGTGCCTGAGGGCAACTATTGTACCTCAGTTCATTAAGTTTGTCCACGTCTTCAAGCTCAACTAGTTTCCTGAATAAAATTATGTAAACAATGTGCTTTTGCTGAAAGGGTCAATAATGGGAAATGCTTCTTGCAAGTTGTCACCGCCACTCTGCTGAACTGAAAGAATTGAGTAACCACACTGTTTTGCGAGAAAGTGGAGAAATCAAATATCTTACTTTAATTTCATCAGGATATGGGTGCTGCAAGGTCAGCATTTATTACCCATTGCTCCTTGGAATGATGCTGATGGTGGGCTGTTGGTTGGAAGAGGGGGCAGGGAAGTAGGGAGAGCTCAAGGGAAGGCTTTCCAATGCAATGCATTTCAAAACTGGAAAGATGGCTTTGGTAGTCCCAATGCTAAATGCCATCCAACCTCAAAACGGACCAATACAAAAAAGCCAAGTGACATGTATCATAGGTAAGGGGGTGGCAAGGAGATGCACTAGAGGTGGTTCACCATTCCATGTGTAAATCAAACCACATACGTTCTCACTACAACTCATTAGTCCACTTAGCTGCAGCGTATTAATTTGTGCTTTTAAGCGCCAAAACAAACTGCTAAAATGGTAGAACGCATGACAAACCACTTGAAAGAAAGCAGACTCATAGTAAAATCCCTTTCGCTTACACTGCTCAATCTGCTGAGTTCTTTCACCATTTTCTTTACTTTTCATTTGAAAGTAGTAGCAGAGAGATTCTGGGAAGAGTTTTGGAATCTTCTACATACAAGCCAACAAAAAGCTGCTGCTGCTATTTTTTTCAAATCAGCAACAAGACTGGTTTGGAGGTAGACAAACAGGAAGCTGGAAGAACAGAACAAGCCAGGCAGCATCTGGAGGAAAGGCTGGGCCCTAGCTACCCCTGCCTGTTTGTCGGTTATGTCAAACAGTCCCTCTTCAGCACGTTCACTAGTACTGTTCTCCAAATCTTCTGCCGCTTCATCGATGACTGCATTGGTGCTGCATTCTGCACCCAGGCTGAACTGTAGCAGTTCATCAACTTCACTAACAACTTCCACCTTGCCCTCAAATTCACTTGGTCTATCTCAGACACCTCCCTCCACTTTCTTGACCTCTCCGTTTCCATTTCTGGTGACAGTTTACGGACCGACATTTACTATAAACCCACAGACTCCCATAGCTACCAAGGCTACACCTCTTCCCACCCTGTATCCTGCCAAAACTCCAACACGTTTTCCCAATTCCTCAGTCTCTGTCGCATCTGCTCTGACGAGAAGATATTCCACTCCCAAGCATCCCGGATGTCTGCCTTTTCCAAACACCACTCTTTTACCCCTCTGTCATCCAGACAGACCTCCACCATGCCTCTTGCATTTGCTGCTCCACAGCTCTTAACTACCCCACCCCCTCCAAATCATAATAAAGATAGCGTTCCCCCTTGTCCTCACTTTCCATCCCGCCAGTCTCCGCATCCAAACTATCATACTCAAACACTTCCACCAACTCCAATTAGACCCCTCTATCTGGAACATCTTTCACTCCCCACCCGTCTCTGATTTCTGCAAGGACCATTCCCCTTGCTACTCCTTAGTTCGCACCATACTCCCCACCAACTACTCCAACCCGCCCAGTACATTCCCCTATAAAAGATGCAACACCTGCCCACACACCACCTTCCCTCACCTCCATTTAAGGCCCTAAACAGTCCTCCCAGGTGAGACGGGGCTTCACCTGCATCTCCTCCAACCTAGTCTATTGCATCTGGTGCTCCCAATGTGTTCTTCTCTACATCGGTGAGACCAAACGTAGATTAGGTGACCATTTCACCGAGCATCTTCACCTGGCCCATAACGGCCAACCTAATCTCCCAGTGACCACCCATTTCAACACCACCCCACCCCGTCCCGACTCCCATCCTACATATCTGCCCTCTGTCTCCTCCAGTGAATCCGAATGCAAATTTGAAGAACATCTTATCTTCCTCCTGGGCACCCTACAGCCTGGAGAACTCAACAGTGCATTCTCCAATTTCAAATAACTTTCCGACCCTCTTCCCCGACTTTCTGACCCTCCCTTCTAGCCACCAACCGGATTCGTCCTTCAATCAACCAACTAGGTCATACCTACTATCAGTGTCCACCTATCACCACCATTCTGCTAAACCCCCTTCCCCTCCCACTTTAACTGCAGCTCCCCCAACCCCACATCCAATCCCGAAGAAGGGTAATACCCAAAATGTTGACTTCTCCTCTCCCCCAGATGCTGCCTGGCTCTCTGTGTTCTTCCAGCCTCCCGTTTGTCTACCTTGGATTCCAGCATCTGCGGTTTTTTTGTCTCTAAGACTGATTTGGAATTGGCCATTTGAATTAACTGGAACTACAGTGTATTTTAAATTGCAGGACAAATTATGCAGTTGTATTTGCTTACCTTCACCCCATGAATAAGTCCATTCATTAGAAAGGTGTGCTGAGGAAATGTCTGATGCAAAACCTAAGGGAAACATTAAATGTTATCTCATTAATTTATAAATCTTTGTTAAGCCACTTTTATACTAAGCTGACAACATACAAAATCTTGCAGCATCATTCTATAAAAATCAAGTATCCTTGGCTAATTAACTATGGTCAGCAGCTTGCCTTGGTGTGACTACTAACTGCACACAACTCATGTCAGAAGCAGAAGTGGCATTTGTGTAGCTCACTCCTAACACAAGATGATCATGTTCCAGCTCCTATTGCCAAGATTTTACTTTACAGTTCGAATACACTGATTCTGAGGGTACAACACAGAGCAAGGCAAAATACCTATACTAAAATAGCTTTTTAAAAATAAAACCTCAAGCGCTCAATTCCCCTGCAAAACTTTTCCCGTATCTTTCTTCGAAGCCTTGAAGGAAGTGACAACTTGGAAGTACTTTGCCCAAAAATCTATACAGATGTATCTCAACAGCTTGACTCCTAGTCCTGAACAATATTCAGGATGCACTTTCCATCAGAGATCACTGAAGTGTGACCAGGAGTGGAAGGATGTTGAGTTACAGGCTTTATTCCTCTGCCAATAGACAGGAGCCTGGTTCATTGCACTGGGGGATTTAAGACATTTGACATCGCAACATGTGCAGCTGCGCTGGGACAATGCAGCTACATATTGGGAGTGGCACCAATTGCATGTCAGTGATTACACCATTCCACATTACTTCCTATGTGGATCTGGTCAGTGAATGCTAGCTGGTTTTGTGAATGTTAGTAGTCACGTCATGTCACAGCAATCAGTGATATGATTCCTCCACAGAAGTGAAGAGCTAACCAATTCAGCTGAGAAATTAACGATGCAACTTGCCCAATGGGCAGGTCTTAGTGTTGTTGGCAAGGCAACATCTAGTTTCCATCCCTAATCACCCGTGAACTGAATGATTCACAGGTCATTTCAGATAGCAATTAAGAGTCTACAACATTACTGAGTTGAGTTATATGTCAGCTAGACCAGGTATGGACAGATTTCCTTCACTAAAATGAGATATATGCTTACAATAATTGATGATAATTTCATGGTCACTGTACGGAGATACTGATTACTTGTATTCCAGATCTATTAAGTGAATTTAAATTCTATGAACTGTCCCAGTAGCACTTGTACACATGTTCCCAGACATTGTCTTCATCTTCCTTAATTGTGAATGACTATTCCAGGGACATTACCACTGGATTATGCCATATCATCAGTACATTGATTTGTGCATCAAACCACAGTTAGTGTACCCATTTTAATGAAATATATTGGTCTATGCATTCATTATACTCACAGTTAGCATAGGAGTTGTCAGCAAGCCCCAAGCAAAGAACTCTAAAAAGATGACAATCACTGCGTGATAGATACTCGGTTCACCTATCCCTTGGGGCTGAAAACAGAAGAGAAAGCAATCAATCCAAAGAAACACCACAATTTTCATGGATTGGGGCCTCAGCTTTGTCCATAAATTGCTCAGAATCAAGGGCCTCACACTAACGCAGAATTTAACACCAAATCCAAGATAGGAGAAGTGTGACACTGATGAAAGGCCCTTGTACTGGGGTTAGGGAATCTGAACACATTTTCACAAAGTTCTCATTATCCTAGGTTTGCTAATCAAGGTTCAGTGATACATTGCTATCACAAGTAGAAGAGGCAAGAACTGCTTCAGACATCATCAACTGCCATACTCTAACCAACCAAGCTAACTGGCTGTATGTAAATCATCTGTTAAATTACTGAAAACAGAAAACACTTGCGCCATCACCTTCTGATAAAATCAAGGAGTAGGCAAGTGGCTGAAAGAAGTCAAAGAGAAGACAGAAAAATTGAGCTCAGTCTGTTTGCAATCTTCCGTAAATCTATAGATTGTGCTGATTAATTGGACAATAGCTGCTCTAACGCGCTAATTAAAGGGAAAGATGAAGAGGAGAACAATAGATCACCAAGTTCAATACCAGCCGTGATGTGAGCAAACTCCTAGAATCCATCATTCAAGTGAAAATTAGAACATAATGCTCGTGTTATTGAATATTTGCAAACCTGGTTCAATCAAAAGCAGGTTACACTTTTAAACTGGGAGAATCTGAGGAAAATGTGACTGCAAAAAGAAACTTGGATGTAATGCTTAAGTTTTTTTTGAAAAGACAGCTTTAGATAGGGTATCACAAGAGGCTTGTTCAAAGAATACAGACACGTGGCACAAGTAGTAATGTAGCCATACGAGATAAAACTGGTGAAACAGGAATTGAACAGTTAGGGTAAACTGCAGTTGTCTGGATTGAACCAGGATCACATGTTTTGTGTCCAATTTTGTTCTAAGCTTATAAACAATTCAGCCTTGCGTATATTTGGTGTATGACAAGAGCATCAGGAAGACAAATTGAGGTGGGAGAAGAAACTAAGCAGGTCAGGATTCTCTCTACAGAAAATCCATGACAGGAGTAGATGATCACAGGCACCAACTGATTCCCTCAAACAGAATACATGGAAATTAATCCATTAAAAACAGCAACTGCAGTTTATCAAGAGCACAACATTGAAGATTAATAAATTTCACTAAGAGTGATTTAGTCACAGTGGATTTCTTTAAGTTTTGGGACACCCATGGTAGGAAAGCAAATTTCTCTCGGATGAGACATTGCGGTTATAAGCAGCATCTCATGATACTTGTTATTTGAACTGAAAATGTAGAATTCGAAAAGACTTAATGCAGTTTATTTTAAAACTTATGAACACTTTTCCCAGAATGAGTACGGAATAGCCAATTCCTCAAGTTGGAAGTCAGTAATGAGTGATTATTAAGTTAAAAATATTAATCATGTCGTGAAGAGTGGATTGAGGACAATTTTGCCGCAGAGGACTGCTGAAGCAGAAAATGCTTTGCCAGAGGTCTTGAGGAAGAGACCTTAAAGATTATTTGAAGCACAGCAAGGTTAAGGACTTTGCTGAAAAAAGTAGTACAGCAAGTTTAGCTTAGAATTATTCTAGAAAAAGCTAGCATAGATACAATGGGTTGAATGCCTTTGTCTTGTAAACTTGTACAACTATACAGTCAGAGTCACACAGCAGAGAAACAGACCCTTGGGTCCAACTGTTTGTGCCAAACATAATCCCAAACTAAACTAGTCCCACCTGCCTGCTCCTGGCCCATATCCCTTCAAAGCTTTGCTATTCAACTACTTATCTTAACTGTCTTTTAAACAGTGTAACTCTGCCCACATCCACCACTTCCTCAGGAAGTTCTTGGCTTTTGTCAGTCAATTCCCTCCTAGAAAAAGCCATTTGTCTTCCCACACAACCCCCTTTCCATTCCATTTTTGTTGTTTACTGCATTTTGTAAACATTTTTGACATTAGCCACACAATCACATCTCAAGCAAAAGTGGCTCAACCTTAAAACAGGACTTCTGTACAATTGTTTATTTTTAAGATGCTATTTGCATTCATGCACTCCACTCTTAACATGAGCAGAATCAGTTTGAAGTACAAAACAACACTATGGTGAACAGATTAAAATTTTCTAGTCCCTTCAGAAGATACCAACTCCTCACCCACTCGGTTTCCTGAGCAATGGCCTCTGGTAGCATATCTAGTCTGAGCTGGACTTATTCAAATTAATTTGGCTATCAATCTAACAGCATTACATGAGAATTTGACTTGCATTCCCTGGAGTATTTAAGATTAAAAATAATGAAACAGATGGGTTTAAGATTTTCAAAGCAGTTACTTCAGGCAATTGGGATAAACTATTTTCCCTGGTGGGAGATTCAAGAACAAGCCCACAGAACATTAAAAAGAGCCACACCATTCAGGGATGATGTCAGGAAGAAATCCTTCACAGAAAGGGGAGTGGAAATCTCGAACTCTCAGCCCCAAAGCAAAAATCAGTTGCAACTGGAAATCAAAAGAAAGTTTCAAACCATACTAGACTTTTGTTAGATAAGACTAAGCAGTAAGGAATACCACTCATACTCACTCCTTAATGGCATTTGGGGTTTACCTGCAGCAGATGGATATCAAAGCCTTTTCCATTACGCTTCCGTTGCTTATTGTATGCTGTCTTGCTCCTATCTTGCAATTCTCAGCATTTCAGACACTGCCCACACAAGAACATATCACATGCAAAAATGGCTCATTCTTAGGACAGGTTTTCATACAATTGATCAAGGAGGCACCTCACCACCGCCCTCTCCGGGACAACGAGGGATAAGTAACAAAGCTGACCCATTCAGCAGCACCCAGATCCCATGAATGAATAAACAAACAGGTTGGGTTAAGAAATAGATCAGCAGAACAGGCTCAAGGGGCAAGATGGCAAGCTCTTCATGCAGTCCCTTTAAATTGAGCTTGCAGCAAGAACTTCTAACATGAAACAAGGCTTCTTGCTGTACTCAACTCAGACATTAATGGTACATCACTATCTGTTTACAAACAGTTTCAGCTCAGCATCACTGAAACCTGTGCAATTCCATTGTTATGACCTGTATCAACTCAAATCATCAAGGCCTGTTAATTTACATCTCAGAGTATTAAAGGAAATGGCCCCAGGAAATACTGCATGCGCTGGTGGCCATCTGCCAAATTCTACAAACTCTGGAGTGGCTCCTACAGACTGGAGGGACAAACGTAGCCCCACTATTTAAAAAGGACAGAAACAAACAGTTATAATTAGTTAGCATCATCATTGGGGAATATGGTCGTTTTATAATAAACGGTGATAACATTTGGAAAGCATTAACAGGATTAGACAAAGCTAGCATGCGTTTATGAAAGGCAAATTATCCTTAACAAATCTACAGTTTTTTTGAGAATCTAACTCGTAGAATAGACAAGGGAGAACCAGTGGATATGGTATATTTGGATTTTCAGACAGCATTGAAAAAGGTCCCTCGTAAGAGTTTATGAGAGAAGTTACAAGCACATGGGATGTGGGAGAACTATTGCTACAGACTGAGAATTGGTTGACAAACAGGAACCAGAGTGGGAATGGATAGACCATTTTGCAAGAAGCAAGCACTGACTAGTGGAGTACCCCAAGGACCAGTGTTTGGGCCCCAGGTATTCATGATTTATTTCAATGACCTGGATCAAGGAACCAAATGCAACATGTTTGAATTTCCTGATGATAAAAACTGGGCATGATTGAGCGCTGTAAACAAGATGTAAGGAGGCTGCAAGGTGATTTAGTCAAGTTGAATGAGTGGGCAAACATAGCAGATGCAGCACAACATGACTAAATGTGAAGTTATACACTACAGTGTGAAATAGAAATTAAGCGTACTATTTAAATGATGATTTATTGGGAAGTATGGATCTAAATAGGATCACCTTGTACGGCAGTTGTGGAAAGTAGAGAGGTAAGTGCAGTAAGCAATTAGGAAGGCAAATGGTATAATGACTTTCACTGTGTGTTGTAGGGATGTCTTACTGCAGTTATACAGGGCCTTGGTGTAGGCACACAAAACACTGTACAGTTCTGGTCTCCAACCTAAGGATATGCTTGCCACACAGAGTTTGCAAAGGTTATTTCAGTTGATACCAAGTTTGGCAGAACTGTCCTTTGAGGGGAGATTAGTTTCACTGGGCCTGTATTCATGAGTTTATAAGGATAAGAGATGGTCTGATTGAAATATGTAAAATTCTAAAAGGGCTGGATAAACTCGATGCGGGGAGGGTGTTTCCCAAGTTGGGAGTCTAGAACCAGGAGACACTGTTTCAGTATATGGACCGCCCATTTAGTACTGAGATTGAGGAAAACTTTCTTCATCCAAACAGTAGTGAATGGTAGTGCATGTCTTGATTACAGAAGGTTGCCGAGGTCAAGTCACTAAATATATTCAAGAGACAGGTAAAGTTTTAGATTTTTAAAGCCATCAAGAGTTATGGGAAGTAGGCAGGAATATGATATTGAGGTAGATGGCCAACTGTGATCATACTGAATAGTGGATCAGGTTAAAAGGACCAAATGAATTACTCCTGCTCCTTGTTTCTACATTGGGGCCCAGTAATCACTTCCCACTGGGAAGGAGTTCAAAGCAATGAAGTTTTGAAATATAAACAAAATACTGGAATTGCTCAGGTCAGGCATCATATGTGGTGAGACAGAGGTCTAACTTTTCAAAAGTTACCTTTTTCTACTGCTAAGATGTTGATTAACTGGAATATTTCCAGAATCTGCTCATCTAACCTCTAGGTTGGGAAGTGAACTCTAATGAGGAACCAAGATAGTCATCCATGTTTCAGATATTATGTGCAAATGATTAGAGAAACTCTTCAGATAAGACTGTGATGTTTTGAAAATTGAGACAGGATGCTCCGAGATAGCAAGAATTGTAGATGCTGGTGTCAGAGTGTGGAGCTGGAAGAACACAGGAGGTCAGGTAACATC